TGTGGCGTCTCTCTCTCTCTCTCTCTCTCTCTCTCTCTCTCTCTCTCATTCTTTTCTACTTCTAATCAACTCATTCATTAGGTTTACCATTGTTGTGTGCTCTTCGAAGTAAAGGACTGATGGGATTAACCCATGTTTTGATTTGCAGCTATGGAGCTTGCCCTGTCTTTGGAGAAGCTAACTAATGAGAAATTACTCGCCTTACACAAGGTATTATTAATACGTTTTCATTATTTGGGGCTAAAATTTTCAGAATTAATGCAGCTTTTGTGTTGTAAAAATTCATTGTTCTGATGGGTTGGGTTTTCTGGTCATCAGGCAGCTGAGAAGAGTAATGACCCGCAAATGCTTGATTTTATTGAGAGTGAATACCTTGCTGAACAGGTCCTAGATTTGTTCTCCTTTCTCACTCTCTCTAACTTATTATAGAAAATATGTATTTGTCTATAAAGTCTATGGATTTGGTGCTTTTCAGGTTGATTCAATCAAGCAGATCTCGGAGTATGTCGCACAGCTCCGTAGGATCGGCAAGGGCCATGGTAACAATCCTGTCCTCTCCGTCCTTGTGTTTGCCCTCTCTCTCTCTCTCTTTGGGCGTGGCTCTCCTTAGTTTTGATTTCTCTCTCCCTCGCTCTCTGCTTGTTTTAAGCTTTTCACCCTCCTTTTGTGTGTTTTGAGTCCTGTACTCTCTTAACTGAGTTGAGTTTGCAGGGGTGTGGCACTTTGATCAGATGCTTCTCAATGGAGCGGCAGCCAATGGTTTGGCTGCTTGAGGATGGATCTCTCATGGGTGACTACTCTTGAGGACGAAATAAAGGGGGGGGATAGAATGAAGGATGGTTTGCATATTCATGAGGAGTTTTTTTTCGAGTTGTTTGTAGTTGTAGTGGAGTAAGAGGTTGAGAATTGACGAGAACATATACCCTTACCTTTTACTGTTTTCTCTTTTGGCTTTTTGTTTATGTGTCTCTCATGTTGTAAGGTCCCCAGTCCCCATATTTTAATGAGCATCGACCTTTGCTTCTATTTCGATATCTGATGCTTGTCGCTTTATACAGTGAAGAGAGAAAGGATGCAATATTTTTTGGCAAGGAGATTGGAAAGGGGGGATTCAAAATTTATATGAGGAGGAAGTTAGAGAGAGAGATGTGGGGATTCAATATTTCAAAATGAACGGTGAATTTGCACTGCACCTTACCTTTGGCATTTGGGTGTTGTAGATAGGGAGGGTAAACCTTACATTTCTCCTCATTCCATCATTCCTCGGGATTAATTTATACCGAGAAAACGGATCGAGGGATTGAATTTATGTGGTTGTGTTTTGTGTATGGGTGCGGTCTGTATAGAGCCGAGGCTCTAAATCTAAACAATCAAATCCGAGCCCACCTTCAAATGGTGTTGAGAAATATAATTTTAATATTGGAAAATTTTGTGATAGCTTTAAATTATATTTTTATTTTTAGTTATGTTATGTAAATATTAAAAAATAGTATAGATTGAGCAGATTTATAAAAACTTATAAAGATTTTTGAGAAAAGGTTTAAGGTAAGCTATAATTTGATTGTTTGGAGCCTCGGCTCTATATAAACCTTTCCCTTTATGTAGGGTGTACCCGCTTAGAAGTTCTTAGTTTTGGTTCGAAAGGAAAGGTTTATATAAGGGGTCAAACTTTATACTTTTGGTTTTAAGGAAAGGTTTATATAAGGGGTCAAACTTTATACTTTTGGTTTTAAGAAAAGGTTTATATAAGGGGTCGAACTTTGTACTTTTTGGTTTAAGGAAAGGTTTATATAAGGGGTCGAACTTTAATACTTTTGGTTTTAAGAGAAGGTTTATATAAGGGGTCGAACTTTATACTATGCATTTCAAAAACCTATCAAAAAGGGTTGTTTTATCATCGGTAAAATCTCCAATTTGTCATCACATTGATATATATAGATATGAAAGAAAAAATAAATTTCAAGTCCAAAAAATATTGTATCTTGTAACATATTATCTATACTGTCTATTTTCAAGACTTTTTGAGTGCTTGTAGAGCCGCTTGATTCATTCCAATTTCAAAGCTTTTAAATTTAATATTGGGGATGAAAAATAGATTTTTAGGCTGTAATATGTGTTTTTTACCGAAAATTGAAAGCACACTCACCCAACAAAAATACCTCGTGAACCTTATTATGATTGTTTAAGGTTGACACCTTATACAAACCTAACCCTGGTTTTTAATAATTGTAGCATTGGGATAAAGAGAATTAAGAGTGCATAATCCGGTTGGAAAGTGTGAAGACTTCCCATCAGTGTTGGGTGCTGAATTATACGCCATTCGATGTATCATTTACGTTTTGGTTGTTTAGAAATGAGTAGTGTTCTCAAAATCGGGAGGGTCGACGGCCCAGACCCGGAAAGGTCACCCTGATCTGGCTTTGATCAGTTATGGTGGTCAAGCTAGGAATTTAAAAAACAAATTCAAAAAAATTATAAAAAAATAAAAATAAAAATAATAAATTTTAATAGGTTTTTTAATGTTTTCTATTACTTTGAAAAATATTTAAAAGTATTTTGGTTATAAATATTTTATATTTTTGTTTACTTTTTGGATTGTTTTTTACTGAAATTTGTAAATACCCTCCACCCAAATTAATTTGAATTTCCTAGACAACCTCTTTCTAACCAATTTTTTTTTATAACTTTTATCCCAAATTGTACACTTTTATCCCAAATTGTACCTTTGTAGCAAATAACCCCCTTCCTCCCCGCCCAAGCATAAAGTTGTATTTTTTTGAGAAATTATCGCTAATATACCCATATTTTAAGGAAATTGGAAAAAAAAAACCCCAACTTTTTAAAACGTTGCCCAACCCTTTTCTTTTTATTATGAATTTTGGCTTTTTTTTTGGACAATACTGCTCTTTTTGGTAGTCTTTTTATCGTAAAAAACATTATGGTATTAAAAGTACTTTAATGACTATTACGGTATTATTAGTACCGTAATGCTCTTTAAATACTTTACGGTCATAAAAAAATGGCAATGAAGTTGAATATCATTATGGTACTAAGAGTACCGTACTGCTCTTTTTGATGTGGTGATGTTCCATGACGTCGTTGCTTGAAAGAAGTGCCTATGCAAAGGGTGTCTTCATGGAGGTATCGTAGAAAGAGAGTAAGGATGGATCCTTTTGTACCAACAATTTACCTTTTTCTCTACTAACAACTGCTGCTTCGTTGCCCCAAGGTGCTGATTTCATCATTGGTCTGCAGTTAGATGTGATTGGGAGAACAAGGAATCCTAAGAGATCGATGCTCGTATTGACAACAATGGATGAGTTGGTGAAAATGGCCCAAGCTTCTAAACCTTTGTGGTTGATTGAGGGGGATTGAAGGGGACAAACCTCTTTCTTGATCCACAATCCAAACACTTTTCTTTTATTTTTTTTGTTATCGCTCTCATCATGACTCGGTGGTGCAACTTGTATGCCTTAATCCCCTGCTTTACCCACACTTCTCTGTCTTTCCCGATTCCGCCTCTCTCTCTCTCTTTATTCGTCTACCTCTATCTCCCTTTCTTCATTTAAACCACCTTTATTTTCCTAATCTGCTTGACCTCTCTCCTCTCTTTATTCGTCTACCTCTATCTCCCTTCCACCTGAGATATCTTTTTACTCTCCACCTCTCCTATAATGCTTCATTTGAAATCTTATTTTGTTGGTTGATGTTTCTATATTGGTTTGCAACTAATTCTCCATATTAGTGCTCGAGTAGGCAATGATTCTGAGAATATGAAGAGAAAAAGTAGAATTGTGCAGTGTTTAGCAGAGAAAAAGTAGAATTGTAAGTGTAAAAGGACCCATCCCTATTATCTCTCTACGATGCCTCCATGAAGACACTCCTCGCATGGGCACTTCTTTCAAGCAATGATGTCATAGAACATTTTCATACCAAAAAGAGCATTACGGTACTTTTAGTATTATAATGATATTCAACTCCATTATGGTTTTTTCATGAAAGTAAAGCATTTAAAAAATATTACGGTACTTTTAATACCGTAATGTTTTTTATGGTATAAAGACTACCATAAAGGGTAGTTTTGTCAAAAAAAAGCCAAAATTCATGAAAAATGGTCCGTGTGAGGTTTTGGAAAGTTTGTGGTTTTTTTCCAATTTCCTTAAAATATGGTTATATTAGCGATAATTTCCCTATTTTTTCATATGAAAATCCCTTCCCATATTTTTGTTTATCAAATATTGACGTGGACTATTGGGCTGGGGCTTCAAACTATAGTGCCGGACTGGGAAAAACACGTGCCGGACTGTAAGAACCATTCGTCGGACTGCCTTTTATAGAACCATTCGTCGGACTGCCTTTTACAAAGTACCAGACTGAAGATAATCCAAAACCCATAAACAAACAGTTGGACCCCTATGCCGGATTGCAGAAACAAATTGCTGAACCTCCTATGCCAAACTGGGTTTACAAGCTGCCGGACCGCGGACAAAACTTGCCGAACCGTTATTCAGTTCTGCCATACCACTAAAAGAGGTCATGGGTGGGAAAGAAGAGAGAGATGCGTTTTAACTTAGGGGTGGGTATTTTGGTTTTTTTTTAACTTTTTTTTTTAGCCCGGCCCTCCTTTGTTATTGGGTCGTGTTTTCTAGCGCTGGAATTGAGCGCTTACTTCATGGTGAATGCAGATATGGATAAATATCTTCTCCAGATTTGTCTTCAGGCATATTTTTTTTTGACAATCAAATTAGTATTTGGTATGGAATAACATGAATTTTATCTTTTTCCGCATTCTATGAAAAATATTATATATTGTTTTGTATATATTGTACACCTATATGTTCTTTTTTTGGTAATTTAGTGGAAAGACAAGCTCCTACGTGTTTTTTCAAATAGATTAAGAGTTAGCTTTATGAAGGTATTTGTAGGGTGGCGTTAGGAGTGGGAATACAAACCACAACGTAATGACTAAAGTGTAGGGTACTACGAACACGACCCCAACCCTTTTCCCAATGAGGACTCATGTTATTAATTGAAACTTGCACTGTTCAATGAAACTAAATTGATAAGGCTACACGTTTGGAGGGAATCCCTATCCTGCTTAACAGAAAAGAACAATTAAGTCCAATTGAAAAATAAGTAGCAATATAATACAATTGGGTCATTTTTTAAAGAATGGCAATTTTTTTTTTTGTGAGTCAATGGGGAGTAATTGAGTTTAGAACGTAGTGCTGCAAATCATTAAGCGCTAACCAATTAAACTCAAACCCTTTTATTAAAAAAATGGTATCCATGTAGAGATAAATGAAGGTAAAATAGAAAACGAAAATGAAAATGAAAATGAAAGAGAGCCAACCATGCTTTCCTATAAGATAATGGTGGACATTAAATATCCAATTCCCAATATTGTCTATAAGAAAATTTAGGGGACCAAGATTTCATTATCATTGATCCATAATCCCATTATAAATAATTGCATAAGCACTTAACCTGGGGACCAATAAAATTGTTGGTCCATAAGGCCCATAAAATTGTTAAATTATTAGAAAAGGTATGTCGGTAAAAAATGGACAAAATCCTTGTTGGTCAAATTAATTTCAGGATGTGGACTGAAATTGCTTAGGGCTTTTTGAATGGTAGTAATGGAATGAGTGATTTTTCGTAGGGGGCTATGGAGTGGAGTGGGTGTTCACTTTGGAAGCATTTGATTTTCTCCCGGAGGGGAATTACCCAAGGAAAACTCTTTTAACATTGATCATGTGGGGATTCGGCTTTTAAAAGGCATAGTTTGCTCAAACATCAAAAGTCTCCAGCTAGGGCTGGCAATGGGCTAGGCATGGGATAGGCCAGCCCTGACCCTAGCCCTAGCCTAGCCTAGTCCCCATAAGGCTCGTTCAGTCCAAGCTAGGCCTTGACCGGGCCAGAGAGGCCTTGAAGTGGTGATCATTTAAAGATATTTTTATTACAATATATGTTCTTATCTTAATATATTAATATCATATTCTACTAGTATTGAAATATTTGTATGTTAATAAAT